GCTCAAATGATAGGCACAAATTAAAAGGACACATGAGATACTTTAAAAAAAATTTTTTTTAATGTTTTTATTTAATTTTTAGAGAGAGGGCGTGAGTGGAGGAGGGGCAGAGAGAGAGGGAGACACAGAATCCGAAGCAGGGTCCAGGCTCTGAGCTGTCAGCACACAGTCTGACACGGGGCTCAAACTGACAAACTGTGAGATCATGACCTGAGCCGAAGTCAGACGCTTAACTGACTGAGCCACCCAGGTGCTCCCACATGAGATACTTTGAAGGAACTCCTACTGGCCAAATCTAGGATAATTTGAATATCAAAATAAATTACGAGGTAATGGATTCTAATCCACTGAATGAATTGGCAATCTGTAATATTACATGAATATAAATAAACTGGAGAAGGAAAAAGTCTTCCTTCTTGAAGAATACTGATGAATGAGGAAAGAGTAATGGAATTAGAAAATCACCATTTGATAAAACAGCATGATGATAACTGGTTCATGCAAGCATCATCAATGGACGATAAAACTACAGGGTGAAAGGTAAGGAAAAGAGTATCTACATAGTTTCAAAGTATCCCTCAAAATACTCATTTATTACAAAGGGGAAAATGGTCACTTTCCAGTGGTAAAATTGTAAATTGACAATACCACCTTAAGCAGGTGATCAAAATGGGGTATATTATCAGTAATAGTACAAATCAACATCATATGCCTTCTGATATGCTGTCCCATCTTTTTCCCTCAGCCTAGAACACTCTTTCTTGGTATATTATCTTGGTAACTCACTAACTTCATTAAAATCTTTCTCAGGGCACCTGGGTAGCTCAGTCAGTTAAGTGTCTGACTTTGGATCAGATCATGATCTCCTGGTTCATGAGTCTGAGCCCCACGTCGGGCTCTATGCTGACAGCTCAGAGCCTAGAGCCTGTTTTGGATCCTGTGTCTCTCTCCCTCTCTGCCCCTCCTCCTCCACTTGCGCTGTCTCTCTGTGTGTCTCTCTCTCAAAAACGATTAAACATTTAAAAAAATTACAGTCTTTCTTAAATATCACCTTCTCTACAAGAACTACCCTGATCACTCTTTTTATACTGCCCCCCCACCTTCCTCATTCCGCTTACCTTACTCTACATTTTCTTTTTTCATAGCACTTACTAGTTTTATAATTTTCTTCTCTATTACATTTATGGCCTATCTCCTATCCCTAGGAGTATAAACATCACAGGAGCAGGGATCTATTTTGTTCACTGATGTATCCTAAGAGCCTATAATAGTTCCTGGCACTTAACTAGTGCTTAATAAGTATTATTAATGAAGGAAAAGTACTGGGCTATTGAGATTAACTATTATCTTGGCCATACCTAGAATCAGAGAGGGGCTTGGGATAGCAATGATTTTGGAAAGTATGTATCTGAATAGCAAGCACACTGTGCTCACTTAGAAACCGTATTTATTTGGAGTAGTTTGGGGAAGGGCTGATGAAGCGTATGAAGAGTTAATGTACCCTTCCACATATCCCTTTCCCTTGGGCCACTGGATATGATTCCCAAGCTAGCTTTCATACTGATACACAGCTCTATGTCATATAAAAGCTATTTTGTATTCTTGAAGAAGTACATTTTAATTCCCAGCTCCTCAGACATAATTTAAACATAGGCTCTTACCTGCAGAGTTGACCACATGTATTTCCACTCCATTCGGGAATTTCGATTGTAGCAGTAACAGTCTGACTCAGAAGTTTTAATTAAATCCATTTCCTTCAGAGCTTTACACCTTGGAACTGAGAGATCGAAAAGCGATTATATTTCCTAAATATTTAATTTCCCGCAATCTTATCTTTTTTTTCCCTTTTATTCACAATAATAATGCATTTTACATTCTCTAAATGAATTCTCCTACATAGTAAGTATAGTCCCTCCGTCTTTCCAACCTACAGGAGACAGACAAAAAATTAGTCTAGTGTCAGTACTCTTGTGATATATGGAAGGCACTATAAGAACACAGAAGGTGGGCAGGAGGATGGGTTAAATGGGTGGTCAGTATTAAGGAGGGCACTTGTGATGAGCACTAGGTGTTGTATGTGAGTGATGAATCACTACATTCTACACCTGAAACTAATATTACACTGTTATGTTAACGAACTGGAGTTCAAATAAAAAGTGAAAGTAAAAAAAAAAAAAAGAACTCAGAATGGGTACTTCAGTCTTGAAGTAGAGGGCAAGAATTGGTGGCAGCTTCAACACCTGCAGCTAGAGAGGTAAGCAGTAGTTACTACTTACTCTAAGGAGTATGGACTTCATGCTGAAAGCAGAGCATTGAAGGATTTTAGGTAAGCATCAAAGTCTCAGCAGGAAACTGATGACACTCAAAAGGGTTTAACTGAAGAGTTCAGTGAGGATGTGGGCAGAGTTAAGGCATTAACAATAAGGCGCTGTGAACTTCCCAGACATCAACAACAGCAGGAAGCCTTTAACATCCTTGCCTGAAATGGCAAAGGGAGGGCCCAACGTTACCAGAGCTGCTGAAGCCCAGAGGACAGTAGTGTCATGGGATGCAATCCCTGCCAAAATGTGGAACGGTGGGATGAAGGTATGACTACTTCAACCTCTCTCTCCTGCCCTCCCATCAGTGCCTCTCACTGGCCAAATGCAATGGGAAGCAGGAGGGCAAAGAAGCCCAGGTGATGCAGTCCACAGATGTCCACTTCCAGACACCGAGCAGGGAAGAGAGGGGCACAGAACGGATCTGTGAGAACAGAGAATAACCAGTTTAATAGGGAAATAACAGGTACACAGTTGTGTTTTAGAAAAAGAATTCTAAAGCAATGTGCAATTTTAGAGGTGAGGAAGACTAAAAGTAGAAGAACCACTAAGGAGGCTACTAAAGGAGTCCAAGCAAGAAACGAACTAGGTAGGAGGGAGAAAGAACAGATAAAAGACCACTTAGGACTGAAATCAACAGGCTTTGGAGATTCATTAGATGAGGGAGAGCAAGAAGATGACCTGAAAGTTCTGGTGAGTGGAAAGATGGTGAGGTCCCTCACCCAGAAAAGGAACACTGGAGAAGATGCAAGCCTGTGCAGGAAAGGGGGATAAGTTCAATTTGGGACATAACCGAGTTTTGGTTGGTGGGACTAAGTGAAAACGGATAGATCTACAACACAGGAGAAATGTGGGGACAGAAGTAGATACATATGTGTCTGCATATATAAATATATGTGCATCTGTATGTTATATACAACATATAAATAACATTTAATACAACACAACACAATCTAATATACAGAGGAAGAGAGACAGGTGCTTTATGAGAGGGTAAATGCCATATGAAAACTGTAAAGTAATGGGATTCATTTTATTCTGTGGCTGCCTCTGTATCTGAATTTAAAGTGAAGTGAGACGAAAGTCATAAATTCTTCTGGATCCAGGACAGGGTGTCTGTCACCACTACACATGTCAACAGGAAACAGGCACAGAGAATGTTATGGGCACACAGAGAAATGGGCCTCATGCCCATCCCCCAACTCCTCTAAGGAGAGTGTGGTCAGCTGCTCCATAAAAACATCAAGTGAAGTTAGAATAATCTGCTGCACCACAGTTGGGGAAGGACTAAGTAACTAGAAACTAGTCTACAATTACATCCATTCAGGGAATGATATCGAATAAGCCCACATAGGTTTGTGTCCTAACTAGAAGCATCCTAAGCATTAAGCTTAAAGGAAGTGAAGACAGACTTGGGGAGAAGATGCAGAGAATACCCACCAATGCAACTGCATGGAAGTCACAAAGCTACACAAAGCAGGAAAGTCACATGAGAACCCAGTATCTTCCAGTGTGACACTGTCAAATCATTTAATCTATACTCTTTTAAAAAAAAATTTTTTTTTAACCTTTATTTATTTTTGAGACAGAGAGAGACAGAGCATGAATGGGGGAGGGGCAGAGAGAGAGGGAGACACAGAATCGGAAGCAGGCTCCAGGCTCTGAGCCATCAGCCCAGAGCCCGACGTGGGGCTCGAACTCACAGACCGTGAGATCGTGACCTGAGCTGAAGTCGGACGCTTAACCGACTGAGCCACCCAGGCGCCCCAAATCTATACTCTTAACATTGTGAGGAAATGCACAGTTTTTTAAATATACCAACAAATTTGCAGAGTTTGAGAGTCTGAGATGGAAATACAAGAATCCAGGTGAAGAAGCAGGTCTCAAAACGGCACGTAAAGGAAGCTCTAGAAGCTCTCTGCTAAATACAAACTACTAAAAATTAAAACTGCATGCCCTGGGGGTGAGGGGGCCACTGGCTGGCTCAGTCCGTTGAGCAGCTGACTTCAGCTCAGGTCACGATTTCACTGTCTCTGAGTTCAAGCCCCATGTCAGGCTCGGTGCTGACAGCTCAGAGCCTGGAGCCTGCTTCAGATTCTGTCTCCCTCTCTCTGCCCTCCCCTGCTCATGCTCTGTCTCTCCCTCTCTCTCAAAAATAAATAAACATTTTTTAAACATTTTTAAAACATGCATCCCTCGGCACAGCCTGTTTATATACAAGACCAAAAGGGGAATGCAGAACCAGTGCTACCAACACACAAAGCAACCAACTGCTGAGGCAAATTCTTGGATATATCTGAGATGCAAATGACTCCTGGCCAAGGGCTACACAGGGGAGAAAGCACTCCTGGACATTGAAGAGCTGGCAGCTAGCTGTAGAAGAGACAATGTCAAAGGCAGTGTAGAACCTGGGAGCACCTAAGCAACTAAAACACATAAAAGCCCTCAGCTAGTGAGAACAAGCATTAGAAGGAGGGCTGTCGACTGGCCTTCTGGTATCCTATGTTCTGCCTCTACGCAGCCCTCCTGTTGGGTCTCTGAGCAGGAACAGGTCTCTACCGGGTGGCTAGAGTTGACAACTTTATACTGACAACTATATTCCTCAGTAAAAGAGGGGAATCCCTACCTATTGTTGAAATGGGAGTGCATTCCAACCAGGCAGGTAAAGGGGGTGAGGCTTAAGGTCCACAGACCCCAGCAGCCCCAGACCACTGTAAGAATGTTAACTTCCAGCCAGTTGTTTCTTCAGGGCTACTCCTAATATGACACTTGTGCTCAATGCCAGGAGCTTCTCTCTGCATCGCCTCTCCTAGTGGGCTCCACTACTTCAAGGAATCAATTCCTGTAAGAACAGTGAACTACTCTTGTTAGTAGTTTGAGGGAATATCCTGTTTCCGGGACCTGAGCTTTGCAAACAAATACTGCCTTCAAATGAGTTTGCTCCCCCTTGGTTCTAAGACTGTCTCCTTAAATCATTTGGTATCTGTAACTTTTAAGAGCAAGATGGTGCAATTTAAATACAGTGCAATGATCTGAATTTAGAAGTAAATGCTTCTCTGCTGTCCAAACCAGTCTTCTTGCACTTGGATTACTGTAATAGCCATTTAGCTGGTTTCCCTGCTTCCAGAATTGCCCCTATGACATTTCCCTACTACCGATTCTCCAATCAGCATATAGATCTTTCAAAAACATCCATCAGAGCAGATTATTTACCTGCTCAAAACCAATGACTTCTCATTGCATTCATAATAAAATCCACCGTCCCTTCCAAGGACCTAGTACTCTGACCTTCTCTCCTCCACCCCTCCCCCTCTCAGCTACTCAGGCCACACCAATCCTCCCATCCTCAAGATGCCAAACCATTTCTACCTCAAGTTTTCCTACTTGCCAATTCCTTCACCTGCAATCTGCCTTCCCCAGATTTTGGCAGAGCTTGCTCCTTCTCATAATATATGTTTGCCCAAATGTCACCTTCTCAGGAAGACCTTCTCTGACCCCACTGTCTAAAATGGCACACTCCAACCCCTTTTATCTACTTTCTCCTCACTCTGCTTTATTTTGTCTTCATGTTATTATTCGTTTATACTTTGTCTCTCCATGAAGTTAGGGACAGCAAGTTCATTACCATATCTCCAGCCTTTAAATATCAGTCTTCTGTGTGTGTGTTGTAATTCCAGAGGGTTAGTGAGTTATTTGGGCATGCATAGCCCAGACAGTGAAAGCCTGACCAATCTTTGTAAAAGTCTGGCCAGCACCAGTCAGCACAATAAAAGGAGGTACACTTTGTCCCTCCCTTTGAAGCAACATGATGTAAACAAACATCCTATCCAGTCCGTGTCATTCCCATCACGCCTACAGAACCCACAGGACCTACAGAACCTACCCTACTCCATCATCAATATACCTTAACTAGAGGGTTGAGAGCTGTAATCCTTAAGATCCCTTGGACTAGGGACTCTCTTCTTTGTCCTCACTGGTTAGAGAAGGGCAGAGAGATGCAAGAGGCAATAAGTTTTTGTTTTACTCATATATGGTACATCAGTGTATTCTACATAGGAGGCCTCCCAGTTAGAAGAGAATAACTTGCTCTGAGTTTCTCCTTGGTCCTCAACAGGATTAAGTAAAGTACAGAAGGAGGTAGGTTGCTCTGGCTATTGATTTCAATAGAAACACTACTAAAAGCATGTTGCAAAGTGTTCCCCCTGGAACAAAGTGTTCCTCCAGAGTGGCCTCTGGCTCTTGAGGTCAAGTTGATGTCGAATTTACACAATACATGAGATATGATAGATAAGGTGTTTGTATTTCATGGTGTCCACTGGCTGCCCTCATTGTTATTAACTCTCTTCTGAGATGAATTTCATTCAATCCACACAAGAACTCCGAAATACCTAAGGAAGAACATGCCTAACTTCAAGTGATTTCATGTAAACCATAAGCCATGGGCTAGCTGGGCTAAGCGTAAGATACTGTAGCAATCAAGATTGTTATCTATTGCCCAAGTGTGCACACTCTTTCTAAAATAAAAAATAAGCAAATAAATAAATAAATAAATAGAGATTGTTAAGTAGGCTGGACTACTGCCTTCCTAGAGATAACAAGATCTTCTAATCTTAGATTGTTTATAAAGGTTATCTTTCCTAGGTCTCTCCTCCCTTAAATAATCTTCTAGAGACATTTCGTTATTCAGTTTCTTCCTCCTCCATCTCCACCTAAGGGTGGAAATAGAAAACATAGCCAGCTAATCTGAACTCTATTGGCTGTTCAAGCCCTGAACTTCAAGACCTGAACTCTGTGAAGCTGCCAGATGTCTATAGGTATCATTTATTTATGTGGCCTCAGTCATGCTGGTTCATTCTGCTAGGATGGAACTTCCTGGAGGCAGATGTAGGGAAACCCAAAAATATCACCATGATACCAACAAAATCCCTTCACAATATAATCAAGAAAACAAAAGGGAATTTCTGGGGCTTCATAAAAACTTAATAATAATCATTCATCTGATCAGAAGAGAACAATACCTGCCTAGGCCTGAGGCTGAAATATGCTTCCACCCTAGAAGGTGCCCCATAACCTGGGTATTCACATCCTCACACCTGATTCCAGATGCAGAGAAAGTTCTGGAAGTGTGGGCTATCCCAGCTCTGCCTCATCTCCTAAGCACTTAGGGAGTATCTACAGGGCCAGCCCAGCATGCCATCATCACAATGCCTACCCCAGCAAGTCTGCAACTCTAAGTCGCAAAATGACCATTGCCTTTTGTAACTCTATGCAGTCCTCAGCAGGTTCTCTTGATTCTGCAATAAACCTGACTTCCGTAGAATATATTTCTGGACAATTGTGCCCAAACGGCTAAGACAAAGCGCAGTTATTTACATTACCAAAGGATCTGAGTCAGGGTTACCTTACCCAATGAGATTCCTTAGTTCATTTTATTTTTTATTTAAAAAAATTTTTTTGATGTTTATGAGAGAGAAAGGGAGAGAGACAGAGCACGAGCTGGGGAGGGCAGAGAGAGAGGGAGACACAGAATCCGAAGCAGCTCCAGGCTCTGAGCTGTCAGCACAGAGCCCGACGCAGGGCTCGAACTCACAGACCACAAGATCACGACCTGAGCCGAAGTTGGAGGCTCAACAGACTGAGCCACCCAGGTGCCCCCTTAGTTCATTTTAAATACCACTCAATTTAGGGGCGCCTGGGTCATTCAGTCCGTTAAGTGTCAGACTCTTGGTTTCGGCTCAGGTCATGATCTCACAGTTCCTGAGATGGAGGTTCTATGTCATGACAGCTCCCTCTCTCTCTCTGCCCCTCTCCTGCCAGTGTGGGTGCTCATACATGTGTGCTCGCTTGCTCTCTCAAAATAAATAAATATTAAAAAAATGTTTTAAAAAGTGCCAATTTATAAATATTCAATGAATCTAATTTTAACATTACATAGCTTATATAAAAAAGGGACAGATGGGTATCACCTGCTTTAACTAATAAATTACATTTAAAATTACTCCTTTGTACTACTTTTGTCATTTTTTAGTTTTCCTAATGTAAAAGGATATATTTAAGTTAAAGAATTTAGTCATATGTAAGGTAAAAATATTCAGTCAAAACTTCAGAAAAGGGCAGGTAGTACTTAAACCTACTTATAGCATGTGCTAAAAATAAAAAGCACAAACACTCCTCAAATCCTAGCAGATCTTAAACAACCTCCAACATAAAAATATTTCAGCAACGTTCTTCAAAAATTTAACCTTACATGGCCCTCATATGGGAAATAAATATCTTCAGATGAAACTATAATATAAAATCACTTATTAAATTAGACTGCCATTTTCTCCATCTGGCCTATCACTGCTTTTCTTTTGGGACAAAGAAGGGGAGGTAGAAGAATAGGAAAAACAAAAAGGAAAACCAACAAAACGTAGCTCCTGAAAGGTCAAAGGAAGAAGGACTTTTCTGGGTATTATTTTATAAATTCCTAGTTTCAAAGGAGTTACCATGGAGCACCAAAGTTACAAAGTTAACTTTCCTATTCTAGTAAACCCTAGTTTTTTTTAACCGGACTTGAATATCAATCTGGATTTTTATTTCTCCAAGAATGTGCATAGAGAATGAATCTGAAATTAGCACATGCTGATGTACATTCAGGCTAATTTTAACTTCGAGTACTGATTTTTCTTCTCCATAGAGAAGAACCTTGAAAGCTGTAGTTTCAAGTGGCCTATTGCTATATAGTTCAAGCCTGGGAATTCAACCCAGTGGCCTGAACTTTATCATAGGACATGTGGTCTCTAGGGCCCTCTCCCACTCGCTGCAAACTATGAATAACTCTTCCTTTCAGCCAGACAACTATCTGCTTCTCCTGTGTCATTTGCCTCTGACTTTCATCCAAATAGGGTGACAGAAAGCTGGCCTCGCTCTAAATGTTCTCTATTGTACGGAAGGGTGTGTACATTCAAGACAGAATTTTACAACAGTAAGTATCATCTAATCCAAGCTTCTCATGTTATAGATGGGCCCTATTTCATGAAACGAAGTACCAGCTGTTTGATCGCAGGGATACTCATAAAACCACTTTTGGAGCAACAATGTTCCTTAGACCTAGTCTAGTCCAGAGGTTCCAATGTGGTGTCTTTAGAACCTTCACAGGATCCAGGATGCTCCATAGCCTCTGCTGTATAGTATATCTGGAATGGCAAGTGTTACTATAAGGCTATGTAAATTGCCATTTTTCTTAGCTGTGGGCTAGAATTCTATCAACTCAGTGGGCATCCTGCATGTCTTGGGCAGAACAGTAGCTCTGATAAGCATTTACGTGGGTCTTTGGCTAACAAAATAGAAGGAAGAATAGTTAATACTAAATGTAATAGAAATATGAGAAATATTGGGTTGACTGAAGCAAATAAAAAAGTGAGGAAAATATTGGAAGCCATTCAGCAACAGAAGAACTTTATTTTACTCATGAGAAAACCATTGTCCATAAAGATTATGTGCCTGGACCAAAGTAAATTCTGCAAGTGAGTGGGGAAATGTAATGAATAACTAGAACTCAAGGTTCTGGGTGTTGGTCCAAGGCTACTTACAATTTTCTGGCTGCTGCTATGCTCAGAAACCCTCCCTCTTAGACACATCTGTCATTTATTTTTTCATCAGTATATAGACTGGTTACATTTCTTACTCCTAAAGCCTGACTTTCCTCATCTGTAAAATGGGTATGTAAATGGTACTTAAGCCCATAGGGTTACTGTGGGTATTAAAAAAGATTATGCATTTAAAGCACTTTGAACACATAGGAAGCACTCAAGGAATGTCCATTCAATGAAAACTGGTACGGAACAGTTCCCCAAGTGTTTAACGCACTGCAAGATTCCCATGAGTTGGCAGCTCTGGCAGAATCGGAAAACTGTCTTCATCCTTAGACAAAGAACCTTGATCTCGTTGGAGGGGCTAAAGGATCACACTTGGGTAACCCCCTTGCAAACAGCGGTTACCAATGAGAGGAGGAGAAGCTGGTGGACAGAAATTCCAGGAAATCTTTTAAAGGATTTTACGCGAGGAGTGGGGATGAGCTAGAAATGTTAAGCTCATAGCATATTACTAGAAGTTCTGGAGTCGGAACTCGTGACCTCCCTTCCGTGCCAGGATCTTGAGAGCACTCCACAGATAGCCCTTAACAACAATATGAGGAGCTACCATCTCTTGTTTCCTACGTAACATCGTGCACACTTTAAACATCACAACAATCCCGTCAGACAGGATCTGCTTTACATGTGACCAGTAGCGTGCCTTGCTCAAGGTCGCAGAGCTAGTCAGAGGCAGGGGAATTTCGGTCTAATTCTAAAGCTAAAGCTCTTCTATTGAGTCCAAAGTAATAGCTATATAGAGAAATACTGAGGTTTTCAACACAAATGGATGTACTATACAAAAGTCTTGTGTTGAGAGTCGGGAGACTAGCTAGGGTCAGCTGTGCCAGTGACAAGCTGTGTGACCTCAGACAAATCAAAACATCTCGGAGCTTTGGTTGCTGCTTCGTAAACGAGGAAACTGGGCTAGACTGAGCTTGGCGGTTGCTTCTACTCCTAAAATCATAAAAGTGTCCAAGTGACAGCAAGAAGACCAGGGAAACCCAAGCAGGCGATAAGGGATGTTGGGCCTGCCGCCGGCCACGCCCGGCGAGCCTTAGGGGACGAGAAAGCGCCCACCGGGCTGCCTGAGCCTTACCGCCGCCGCCGAGGGCAGGGAGAGCGCCCTCGAGCCGCCAAGGCCTACGAACCGAGGAGTCCGGGAGCGCGCGTGCGCGCCGGCCGCCAGTGCCCGCGGTTACCTGCCAACGCCGCCGCCGCCTCCTCCTCTCCGCGCACCGCGCCAGCGGGCGGCGCGGACAAGGGCTGCAGCCAGATTAGCAGCCACCACCGCCCCAGGGGCGGCCGCATCCCGCCCCGGGACCAGCTCCGCGCCCCCGTTCGGCCGATAGTAGCAGCAATGGCGCAAGGCCTACGAGGAGGCTGAGCAGGGCGGCGAGACCCGTACGCGGGAAGGGCGGAGGCCCCGCCTTTCCAGGGCTGAGGAGTTAGCTCTGGGCTGCGGGCGACGGCTGGTCGAGGCCTGGGGGCTCCCTGTAGCCCTCTTCGGGCCCCTACCGGCCTCGGGGCTTCCGGGCCTCGTCTTCCCCTGAGGCGGTTGGGCCGTGGCCCAGTCCCGTCGGTCCCTGCGCCAGGGTGGAAACGGCGGCGGGGGGAGGGGTGGGAGCTCCTCTGTGAATTTTGCCTGAAACTTCCCTGACCGGTGACCTGCGGAGTTTTAGGTCTCAGTTCTCAGAGGTCTGCTGAGCGATGCGTCTTGAAGGGCCCTTCAGGAACAACTCCCCCGCCCCCCCACACCTTTTTTTTTTTTTTTTTTTAACAAATCAAAGTTTATTTTTCCTTTTTTTTCCTCCCATTTTCCTTTGTGTATGTAACAATAACAAACTGGCAATATGGTTGCTTAAGTACCGCTTATATGTCCAAGCTTATCAACACACCACACTTCAGTATAAAGAGGGTGTAAAATGGTCCCTCACCAATACAGCACGTCTTAAATAGCTTGCATTTAAAAAAAGAAAAAGAAAACTGATTGATGGATGCCACAGGGAGGGGGTGGGGAAAGGCGGGCAAAATGCGCAAACAGTTCAAAAAAATACAAACTTACAATTATAAATAAGTTCTGGTGACGAAATGTACAGTATGATGACTAAAGTTAATACTGTAATGTCTATTTGAAATTCGCTAAGAGTAGATCTTAAAAGTTCTCACCATACACAAAAGTCTTTGTAATTATGTGAGGTGATGTATCTTACTATGATGATCATTTTGCAATATATACATATATCAATCATGTTGTACACCTAAAACTAACACAATATTATATGTCAATTATCTAAAACTGGGAAAAATATCTTGAGTGGCCTTAATATTGATAATTAGTAGAGAACTTGCAGTTAAGTAATATATATACTGTAGCTTTTTTTCTTTTTAAAGAACGGAACTTTCTCAGGCCCTAGAAACCCATGAAGGTGATTCAATATTTCATACCAAACATTTATTAGAACAAAAGTTCATTTCCTTTTTTCTAATTCTGGTCTTCTGGTTATGTACCTCAGGGAAGCCAATTGTGACAGAAATCATCCTCTAAAAATAACTTAGCTTCATTTTCCCTAAAGGTATGAGTAGGACTGACTAGACTTACCCTGGCTTCAAAGTAAGGTTTAACCAACTGTCCTCAACCTCCTGGCACCGTGTGTGCAGCCATAGATGGTTTGGGAAGTTCAGAAATCTCCTTATAAGGAATTCTTCAAGGGGATGAGTTTTACAAATAAACTGTTATTAATGAAACTGCCACCTTGTCTGACCCTGCAGACTGTCTCCAGAGAAACTGCAGAGCTCCTGGTCCAAGTGTGAGGTGTGCATTCGCCTCTTGCACAATGACTTTTTTTTCTAACCACAGTCATTTTGATTTAATTTTGGATGGCACTATAAAAAGTGGCTAAAAGAAGCAGGTAGATACATGTGTTTTCCTGCAGCAGCATCTGGTAGAGAAAGGAGCAGGCAGCAGTATAATAAATTAATATTTAAATTAGGAATAAGTTCTGGTGATGAAATGTACAGTGTGATGACTAAAGTTAACAATACTGTACTGTATATCTGAAAGTTGCTATGAGTAGATCTTACAAGTTCGCATCATACACAAAAGTTTTTGCGCTCTATCTTTCCATCCATCAGAAAATAGAGAAAAAGTTTGTTCATCAGTAGGTCAGTGAAGTGAGAAAGTTGTAGTTGAAATCACCATTAAACTTGACAAGAGGATGTAAAACAATTGTAATTGGATAATAGCACCAGCACATAAATTTCTACACCAAAAGAGATGATTAAAAAAGGAAAAAAAAATCATTGCCTCCTAAGGCAGTTGCCCAATAGTGGCACAGATTTTAGCTGTGGACTTCTGGTAAACAGCCCATGTCCACCCCTAAGATGGGATGAAGCACTACGGCTTGGGGGTCTGGATCTCACAGATAAAGAAGAAGTTGGCACTTTCTCCAGAATGCTATTATTGGTGTGGGTAATAAGTAAATGTTTAGCAATGAAAATGCAGATTCCCAAGACATACCCTCTAGAGACTGATTCAGTTTATCTGGGGAGAGCCCAAAATATGCCTTCTTAATCTGTACCCCAAATGATTCAAAATCTTTAGAATTAAAATTTGAGTTTTATAAGTTTCATGCTTGACAGGAAGTGGCTTTTTCAGCAAGTTTGTAATCACAGCTAAAATATTGTGTGTGTGTACTTTATGTAATTCATATTGGTTTAACATGACATATTGTGGGGGAAAATGTGTAACAAAGAGCTTCCTTAGTATTATTTTAGTGACCTGAATTTTTATTTTCATTTTATTTTATTTTTAAATTTTATTAATTCATTTTGAGAGAGAGAGAGAGAGAGCAAGGGAGGGGCAGAAAGAGAAGGAGAGAGAATCCCAAGCAGGCCCTGAGATGTCAGTGTGGAACCCAATGCAGGGCTCAAACTCTCGAACTGTGAAATCATGGCCTGAGCCCAAACCAGGTTGGATGCTTAACCAACTGAGCCATCTAGGCGCCCCATGACCTGAGTTTTTAAATTCCATATGACTATTTCCACACGGTATAAAAAAGATTATAATTCAATTTTCAGCCTCTGCATTTTTATTTCTAGAGTTCTTGTTCTTCATAACTAATTAATTTTCTGTAACTGTCATAGTGTTATAATCAGTCATTATGAATCAGAAGTAAAATTTAGCTCATGTCAGAAATTATTTAGGAACTTTCCCTTGGTTTCTAGGTAGGTAGAACATTTAATTAAACGAATTAGAATAAAATAAAGTTCTACTACTTTGGGCTCTTTCATAAAGATTTGGTGTATTACTGCAATGATACCTGCCAATGTCATAAAGATTACATAGGCTATATGTCGTAACTTCTTTTTTTTCATTTATTTATTTTTGAGAGAGAGCGCAAGCGCATGAGTAGGGGAGAGGAGCAGAGGGAGAGAGAGAGAGAGAGAATTTTTTTTAAATGCTTATTATTTATTTTGAGAGGTACAAAGATAGCACAAGTGGGGGGAGGGGCAGAGAGAGAGGGAGAGAGAATCCCAAGCAGGCTCTGCGCTGTCAGCACAGAGCCACTCTGGGGCTTGATGCGATGAACCCTAAGATCATGACTTGAGCCGAAACCAGAAGTCAGACGCTCAGGACCCCAGAGAGAAAGAGAGACAATCTTGAGCAGGTTCTGCCATCAGCATGGAGCCCAACACAGGTATCAATCCCATGACCCTGGAATCATGGTTTGAGCCAAAATCAAGAGTCAGATGTTCAAATGACTAAGCCACCCAGGTGCCCCCATAACTTCTTTTTAGAAGTTCCCAGTTTTAGAATTCTACATATAAGAGAAAAAAAAGAAACCACCACCACCAACAGGCTGTTCAAGACCTCTCCATAAAAGAAACAAAGAAAGAAGTTGACTTGTTGGATCATGTTTTTCTTAACAGATTTCATTTGTGAGATATTTTGAAATTGACTTGCTATATACTAGTTCAGTAATTTTAGGAATAACTCATGTCAAAACTAAAAGGGAGATAGCTTTTCAGTATGACTAAGTGATATTAGGAAGTATGAGAATAAATATAATTTATAAGAAAGATAATATGTCTTCTATACTAAATTAGTAAACCTCATGGTAAAAAATAATTGTCAAATTCAATTCAAATGTTTCAATTCAAATAGAGAGATGTGGAATTCTTTAAAATCGTAGTTCTTGGGGCACCTGGGTAGCTCAGTTGGTTGGGCGCCTGACTTTGGCTCAGGTCATGATCTCATGGTTTGTGAGTTGGGGCCCTATGTCTGGCTCTGTGCTGACAGCTCAGAGCCTGGAGCCTGGTTCAGATTCTGTGTCTCCCTCTCTCTGCCCCTTGCTCTTTCTCTCTCTCTCTCTCTCAATAGTGAATAAACATTACAAAAAAAATTTTTAAAGACAGTAGTTCTCAAGTTGTGGTGTGGATAAGGCCCCATCCATCTCCAAACATTGCTATTCAGTAGGTCCAGTGTATGGCCTGGGAATCTTGATAATTCTGAGTCAAATAGTCTTTTGTCTATACTATATTAAAGTTCTGTTCTTTAAAAAGAAAAAAAGAAAAAATACTAAAAAGTGATTGATGACTAAATGATGGTTAGAAAACAGTATCTGTGGGAGAAAAAAAATAATGTATTTGGTTAATCTGAAAACAAAGAAGATGGAAGAGTTAGAACTTTCTAAGACTTAATTTAAAGAACCAAGATACAGAAAACTGGAAACCAGTTATTATGTTTTCAAAGAAAAGAGCAATCTCTCACCTGGACACCATCCAATCCTACCACTCCACATCACCTGAGTCCTAAGGAAATTCTACCAAAATTTTCTTTGCTGCCAAAACACCCTTAGGAAGCATTTTTAATTTGACCATTCTCTATAATCTAGATCTTCCCCCGCTCCACTGGAGTAATTTCTATTAAAACGATTATAGTAAGGGGCGCCTGGGTGGCTCAGTCGGTTGAGCGGCCGACTTCGGCTCAGGTCATGATCTCGCGGTCCATGAGTTCGAGCCCCGCGTCGGACTCTGTGCGACAGCTCAGAGCCTGGAGCCTGTTTCAGATTCTGTGTCTCCCTCTCTCTGACCCTCCCCCGTTCATGCTTTGTCTCCCTCTGTCTCAAAAATAAATAAACGTTTAAAAAAATTTAAAAAAAAATAAAACGATTATAGTGAGATCATTATATTTCAAAATCAATTTTTCTTTCCAGGAAAGCTGTAAACTGCAGATGTCCTTTTCATTTAAATTCCTTAACTGACTCTATTGGTTATTTATTGACAATGAAAAAAAATTTGTGTATGAT